GTGATGGAAAACCTTGTTTTCTACGGACCGGTGGGATGCGGTAGGGAAGGGTAGACCAGATGCCCCAATCTACCCGCAAGTACTTCCTTTCGGTGCCGTGAGTGGGCACAACAGTAGGGCGAGGTATGGTTGATGGTAGTTTGATTCAAGGTACTCCTCTAGTCTCCTGTAGAACCATGAAAGGGGAAAAGGTTGAGGTCTCGGACCTCACGCTACCCTCAAGAGGCGCTGGCCGAAATGAGGATCGCGTATCTTGGATCACGGTCTTGCCGGGCCGGCGAGCTTGGCATTCGACGAGAGATCTGGCGGGCCGCGAACGAGATTAGATGGCGGATTGATTTAGTCACGGGAGCGAGGGAGTGAAGGAGTGAAAGGGTTTTCGAACATTCTACACGTAAGAGAGAACGTTTGCGCAAAAGTTTATCGTCCGGGTCTCGAGAGGAGCATCGTGCATGGCTATTGAGAGATCTGATTGAGTAAAAGCTAGGAGCGGTATAGCCTCCTTGCTACAAAGAGGTGAAGACTGCTGCTTTGGGTAGGTACCTTATGTAGATGGCATCTTGTCGTCACCCCGCGCTGCCGACGTGGCTGACATTGTGTGGCTGATGGTGATGTCGTCAGTCAAGATTCAAGCAGGAGCTAGGAGGAGCTGGGAAGGACCCCTGTATTCTTGGTCCTGTGGTTCTTTCCCCGGAACACGTCGCACAGACCCCCCGCTTGCTGCGAGGCGAACAGGGGCTCTTATCCGCATGGCTCCAGTATTTTTTGGGTTCGGGGGACCTCGGGCGGGGACTAGCGGAGGAAGAGTTCTTCCTTCCAGCAATACGTATCTCTAGATCTTTGTGGTAGACCACGGGACCTGAGGATAATCACAATACCAAATGTTTGCTCATCTTTGCTTCTTCCGGGTTCCCGACAGCTACTTGTCTCTTCCTGATACCTCGGACTAGGAACTTGGCGTCTTTTCGTGTCGGCTTCCTCGCAGATTCGCATACATCTCGCACAACCATGCGCTCGCGTGCTTCTCTTGGTGTTTCCTTCCTGTTTGGCAACTGCAACCGCACTTCATTCGCTGTGGTTTGAGGCCGTCGGATCGCACACGGGATCTGCATCCGCTACTACCTTGAACCCTCGTCTGCCGCCTTCCGCGCAAGGAATGGAACGCTCATTGTCTACGGAGTATTGCATTGCTACCGCCCAATTTCTTTGGAATACGACCTTCAGCTTGGACTTTCGTTTCCACGGCAGTGAGGCACGCCGCCTCACGATAGATGCACAGAGTGTCTTCAGCTTCTTCTTGGGGCGGGCTAGTGCCAGATTGCCTTGACGCTTGACGCCTGACATGGGTACAGCTTCTGCGCAGCAAGGGCCCCTGAGACCTGTAGCCTGCTATGCTGATGGCGACGAAGAGCGTGTGCCGGTGTCGGTGTTATTGCCGGTTCTGCTTACACGCTTTCCAGTGAGTGCACGGTGCCTCACGATACCCGGCGCCGGCAGCCACATCTCAGCCACTAGTCCGAGTCTAGACCGAGCTAGACCTTGGCTGACCGGGACCTCGATTGGTTGCGCTGCATTGGACTGCGGTGTCCTGAGTCAGCTTAGGTAGCTCTGAAGTTCTGAAGAGGAGGAGGCAATGGAGGATCCCGTTGGATATTTGCACAAGAAAGGTCGCCAAGGCGTTTACACACCAAAGGGAAAAAAACTCTGGACGGAGGTCCTACACAATTACCTTGCGGATTATGCCTGCTTCTTCAAGACCAAGATTGCGACATTGCGACATCCGTGGCAACCTAAATGCAGGAGCGCCCGAAGCCACCCGTCCATGCTCGTTCACTAAGCTACAAACTCAGCTCTCTCCTCGCAACGATTGTGATTGGCCGGGCTGTCATCATCTGGATGCCATGAAGACGCTCGACCGATAGATCGGTAGAGAGAACCCTTCGTGCCTGCCGCGTTCAAGGTCAGCCGCACCATCGAGAACAACACCTTCAAACTCTTGGGACGTTTTACACGGCCGCCATCTCTCGACATAGCGTGCCCGCATGATCTCGAAATCTCTTGAGCCGCCCAGGCAATGAGTGCTTCGGCTATAGGCTATAGCAGCCCTTTCGAGATAATACAAGCGGCCCTTTTCTGGATGAAGGAGGTCCGGCATGCCACGCCCACAACCCAAACGGTCAACCGAACCCTAGATCGCGAAACGATGCACGATGCCCGCTGCCCGCCCAGGCTCTCTGGCACAGACTCAAACTGAGAAACCAAGCATTTACGTACTTCTTAGCACTAGATCCAAGGGATCATCAGCGATGGCTTCGCTAGAATCCGGGGGGTACAGCAAATTACGAGGAAAAGAGGGGGGCATGCCATGAGAAACGAAGGACGCGGTCTCGGCCGTCATTCCAACTGACAGTGCGGTCGGCCGACTGCCTGCCAAATTCTCGTCTCTATTCCTCCAACTACGTTGATTCAGGATCTTTCGCCCTCTTGACGGATCTGACTTGCCAAACCTTCTTTGATTTCTTGCCATCTTCTGGACGCTTTCTGGACGCGAGCGATCACCCGGCCGTAAGCCAAGCCAGGCTACATCATTGTGGCCAAGCGGCTAGATTAACCTTGTGAGAAAGGCAACGACCGGATGAGGCGCGAGATAACCGGTACGAGGTCTCACGCATGTGTCGCGGTTACGCCGGGAAAATCACCAGCATTTTGGCGGAGAAAAGCCAGTTCCTAGAACGGCTACCTATGCTGGTTCCATCCCCAGCTTTGTGGTGTAATCAGCGATTTGGTCTTAGTATCCTCAGATCCACACCTCCTGCGCCTCCAACTTCTTTGTCGAACCTGCGGCTCAGAATTTCCATCCCTGTCTATTCCGTCGTTCCGCTGCACCAAAAGACTCTTGGTACGGGAAATGCCATCGACATACGACATATCCGTTTTTTCCACCACAGCCTCCCCAAAAGGGCCCAGAGCCAGGGGTCACGGCTCGCCGGGACCGATAGACCACAGACCGGACTGCATGTGCACAGTCGCTCGCAAGCTATCAGGACGTGCTCAGCGGTAGCGCTGTACGCTGTTCGTCAGAGGCGCTCGGGAAAGGGCCCATGCTACAGCCATCACTTGCGGAGCTTTACGTATCGCGGCGTCTTTGTGCTAGATGGTGGACGGTAGGTAGGTGGGGAGGGGACCTGCGAGCTAATCTTCAAATCTAGTTGAGCCCACAAGAACCTTCAGCCAGTGAAGGGTGCCATTGACGAAGCCAAAGTGGGAAAGAGAAAGGAAAAGCAGGCCTGCGATGCAATATGCTCTGCAGTATAGCAAATCCGCTCGATACACCTGGTCGACATGGAGAAATTTTAGGGCCAAACGTTGGTCGATATTCAATGGACCTGGTTGGCTTATGGGCCGGATCGGCAACCAGATTCGAGCTCAAATACCCTGTTCCGTTGCAGAGTCGTAGTTAATCTCTGCCTTGCGCCGTTGAGCCGTCCAACCAGACAAGGGTACGAGCTCCCCGCTCCTGGTCAAGGACTCGAGCTACTTACGCAGGCGAACAGTAATAGACTTGTAAGTCTTGCGTAGACTTCTCATCCACCCATCCACCCACCCACTACCAAACGACGCTCGGTGAACCGCTCTTCCTGTCGCGGACTCGACCTGTGGGCTGCGGCAGGCACAAAGATGCAGACCACAGGCAAGGCCAGCGCAGAGAGGCAGTCAGACAGACCGCAGGGCATGCGCAGGATAAAGGGCACATTGGATTAGAGTTTTCCCTCTCGTAACGATTTGCCCCTCCACCTCGACTCAGTCACCCCTCGGCCCCGTCCCCCGTCCCGTCACCGTGACATGAGCTTGGCGACGAAACAGCCTTTTTCTACTCTTGTTTCCTGTCGTCACCTTTGTCTGGGGGTGATGCACTGCCAAAGTAGCCAATACCGATACCGTTTCTTCCCTCTCAGGACGCTGCAGAGGACGTCCTCCGGTAAGGTGTCCGTCTCCCCTTCTCTTCAGTTTTTTGCCCGTTTGGGGCTTGGCTTGTGCATGCCTGGACGGCGGGCGTACTGTACGTCTGTCTCTCACTCACGAATCCTTCAACTCCCCCTTGGCTGCTAGCAGCCGAGACCACCGTAGCGGGCGTACCTACACATTTCACGTAGACACTGTTTTCTAAGGTGTGTGTAGGCAGCTCCCTTGCTGTCTTCAAACCGTTTCTTCTTCGAGCATCTTGAATTTTTTGGAATACCCTTCTCTGTGGCTTGCACCAGGGGCCACTACTCGAATTACCTTCTGGTACCTACATGGAGCTATCCTCTAGGACATTTGCATTTTTCAACGCCGTCACTTCTTCACGTCCAGTCAGTACTAGTTGGTACTCGATAGTGGCTTTTTTCCGAGTCAACCAGCTGTGACCGGTCTTGGGCCATAGACTGGTAGCTTCCTGCCAAGCACAGCCAGAGCCAGAAACGAACGCCTTTGATCTCATGCTAAGTGGGCTTGGTTTTCTTACTATCACTCATCCAGCTTGATCACTTCGCCGGGTACGTTCCCCTCAAGCTAGCACAGAGACGCACACCCAAAGAGAGAAGAGGGAGGAGAAGGGAAAAAAAGCCACAGGCGGATGAGTCTATTCTTCCCCCTTGCCTCTAGCGTATCGGTCACCCCCCTCCATCCTTGTAGCAGCATTGGGCTTGCTGTCTGCACCTTAGCTGCCCCCATCCCCCTCCCGTCCCTGCGCGCACGCTTCGATCACCTGTTGGACGAAACTTAAAGACGGTTGTATCCCCCTTCCCAGACATTGCGAGACGAAGTGTAGCTCGGACATCAAAACCGTCGATCCCTTTACTCTAGCGTTCCCGGTTCTTGCGGTTGCGCTTGGTATATAGTCCTTCTGTCCCCTTTGGAACAGCCTTTTATCGCCCCGGACCCTTCTCTCATGTTCGGAAGATCGTGATCCAACAATCCATATCCGACTCGAAATCGACATCACATTCCCCGGGGACACGATGGCTCCGGCTCCAGAAATGAATGTCCGGGCGAATCCCGAAGGCCTACACACATCAGAGCCCGTTGGAGGAACGGTGATGAGCGTCATCATCTGCCTGGTCTCGATCAGTATCATCTCCGGATTTTTTGGTTGGTGGCCTACGGATCACAAATTTGGTGGAGCGGCATACTTACGAAGAATGAACAGTTCAAAGAGGCACAGTATTGAGAAACTGGAGGAGGATACCATTCGTGGTCTGGCGTGAGTATTTGTTCTGGTGGTTGGCGGGTATCCGCGATGCTAATGAAAATCATAGTCGTGCTCGCCGTTTATATCGATTCATACCTTTTCGTCTTCGTCACAGCGGTTCTCCAATTCGCTCTCGGTGTCAACAAGAACGTACAGATTTGCGACGGTGCAATTCTCCTATGCCTAGTTTGCTATCTTTCGACAAAAGTCTTGATTTATCTCTTCCTTGTCGAGAAAGCAGTGCGTATATCGACTCCACGAGGCAAACTCAAGGTCATAGCTAACGCTCCAATAGCACATTATCAGAGGAGCAACGAAACCGAGACTGCAGTCAAAGCTTTACCTATTCAATTCGTTTGGCATGCTTGGCGTCTACGCAGTTATTGCTATTCTCAACTTCATCTTGTAAGCCAACGTCGAAGCATCATTACCAAGATCCACAACTAACAGCAGCATAGCCGAATTACACGCATTGACGATGGGCAATGCTACATCGGAATGCAGAAGGTCTCGATGATTCCTCTCATCTCCTTTGACGCCGTCGTCAACGTTTACCTTACCATTCTCTTCCTGATCCCTCTCAAGAGTAAGCGCAGCCAGGCGCTCCAACAAGCCAGTCACGTAACGATGAAGCTAACTTGTGGCAGGTCTATACTCATTCAAGCATTTCCCCAAAACACCTGCAAACATCCGACTTAGAAGCGTCGCCCTCCGCACCTTTGTCGGTGCCCTGTGCACGCTTACCAGCAGCATTGTGTAAGTTGAGCACGCCTTTAATTTAAGCTCAAGGTTTCTGACTCGCTACAGTAACTTGACCGTACTCATGGTCCTTAACGGTGAGCCTGGTTGGGTCTGCCTTATGTGCTGCAACAGCGACAGTATGTCCACCATCATCATTCGACCTTGTCCTTGCGGGCGTAGCTGACCTTCCCCTAGTCCTTTTCTCTGCCATTGTTGTACAGTGGGTTACTTCGAAGGATAACCAAGCTACCATCGGCTCGTCAAGCGGTAACTCCCGAGGCGAGCCGTTCGCTGAAGACTTCCGCCGTCCGGACGGCGCTCCCTACTCGCCCCACATCGCACCAAGCCAGAAGCACGTCATGGGTGATGTTGGTGAGATTTCGCTGGACAGCCGACGCTCCAACTCTGCAACTAGCGATGACAAGATTTCGTCAGAGGGAGAACGTACGCGCAGGACATCATCCGTCGGGTCGGTGCCTGTGAGCGGTGTCTACGTAACAACCACGATCAAGCGAGAGTCGAAGCCGACGCCAGCCGTTTTCGAGGAGATGGATATTGAAGAAGGGTATGCGGAGTCGAACAGGTCAACTCGACCGATCAGCGGGCGCGGTTCGGACTTTGACAAATACGCCGCTGGCTCACAAACGAAAATCACGGCCGGAAAGCGCTAATGACAGGAGGGGGTTTTACTTTCAGAGGACGAAACCGACTGCATTCTTCTAGGCGACATCGCTTTCCATTCCGACCTTCACGGCGCGATTAAGGGGGGAAACAACCTCATGAACACCATTGCTGGGGCGTAATTACGGCTTGCTTTTTCTGGGTTCGGACTACCCCCTTGTGGGGGATTCAGGACGATTTCTTTTTCAAATTTCTTCTCATTTTTTGATATCATACCACGATGGACACCATCGGGAGGGCAAACATTGTCAAATTTTCTCACCTTTACACACTTATACATACACATCACGGCCTATGGGTAGGCGGTACACGGATTTTGGTCTACACATACCTCACGGACGAGCGGTTACTTCATGACGGGAACTGGCGGAGGTTCATATACAGGATTTGAATTGTCTTCGGTGGTGGGAAGCATGATACTAGTCATGAGCCTTTGGGTTATTCTTGCATCAAAGAGACGGATATATCACAGGATTCAGGATAGGCTAAAAATCAACGGATGTTCATTTCAAACCTTTGAATGAACAGGCCTAGCGGAGAAACAACGATGGGCAATGTTACATTTTGCCATATTCACAAAAGCAGCTTCCAAAGATGGGGAATCTTCAGTTGTAGACTAAACTAGTCACAAATACTTTAATGACCCCGTACCTACGCCATGTATTTTGCCCGTGAGCCCATTCCCCTCTCACCAGTCTATTGAGTCAAATCCCATCTTCAGGTGGATGGACATCTGCCGTCCTGATGTGATTTCCCAATAAACCGAACGATTGTGGCAAAGGGTAGATTCTAGGTGGGGGAGGGGAGGGAGCACAGCATTCGCCCGCTACAGAGGTGGAGGAATCTAGATGGTCGAGCTAAGGCACGACTTGCAGATCCGCCACCGCTCAACCCCCGTGTCTGCCACGTTGTTCTCGACACGATCTGGGACTTGGATGGATGGGCGGATGGGTTGGGCTGACGTGTATTGATTGGAGTGATTGAGCGAGTGTGTGTGCTAGGTATCTCCTCTTCACGGTATCCGTACACACCGCCAAATCTGCCGAACAGGCTTCTACGGCCATTCTAGCGAAAACCTTGGGTCTGGATTGGTTACGGTCCGTATTGGGGTACCTAGAGTTGTAAAGTTGCGACCAACCACATTTTTTAGTCCGAGATACCTGACCGCCATGTGTTTTGTGTCACACAAGGCCACCCCGATGGGAAGGATTTCCCAAAAGCCCAAAGCCCAACGCAAGACGCACAAGAGTGAAAAAATTCCCGAGTGTGCGGGCGCCGGAAGTGTCGCCTCTTTGATCCCACGTGGGTTTCGTCCTGGGCGAAAGCTGTGCTCTTCTTTTCATGTGGTTGGATGAATGGGGAGGGATGGGGATGGATGGGGATGGGTGTGCGGTCGTCCCGGTTTCCCCTTGCGTGTGAGGGCGGAAAGGAAGATTACAACCATGTGGTTGGACTGTCGAGAACTTCGGAGTCTCGCTCCGTTTGACGCCTTCCTACCCTATTCCCTTGTTCGAGAGAGACGTTTCCTCATGCGCGCGCGCATTGTGTGGTTTCTGGGGGTGGAGGGAGAGCTTGGCTTGGCTTGGCTTTTGGGGACCCCGCGACACGTGGGAATTTCCTCGGACGTACCCGTCGCCTCCCCTCCCCCATCTTTGACATGTTTGAGAAGAGCGCTGAGACTATCGGGATTCCATCAAGATATTGGGCTGGCTGTGCAGGCAAACGAGAGCAAGGACTAGAGCTTCTCAAACGCGGGTTCTCGCGCGCTATACTGGCCCGGTTCGTGCGCAAATAAGATACCAAACGGCCGCCGGTGGTCGTCTAGACCGACCCGTAAAGAGAGTATCATGTTCCCCTTCAGCCTATAATCGAGATTCTTGTTTGGTGACAAGGGCCCATAAGTCATGTTAAACTACGACTCCAGGAAACAGGCCGGGAAGGCTTGTAGTCTCCCCGGTCTTGGCTTTTTCCCGCTGCCTCGCACCATGGAGCGGCCCCTCTTCCATCATCATTCTGTACGGACGACCTCCCTAGTCGCAGGATGGGGTTTCCTGTTAAAGGAACTGGGGGTCTTGTAGTGGAGGCATCATCCATGGTCCAAAATAGAAAAGAAGTTCCTTGGAGCATGCTGCTTTGGACAGCATAAGAAGTTGCAGTAGCTATTCGCTTCCTTCGAGTCAACAAATGTCAATAGAGTTGATATTCTGACTCTGGGTGATGGGATTTGGAAGGCTACTGTTCCTTGTTCCACACACCATGGTCCGAATAGAAGAAACCTTACAGCCAAGGCGGACCCTGCCTCGCCTGCTAAGCTCTCCCCGGAGTTCTGCTCCATTGCTACCCTACGCTGACTGCCAGAACGCAAGAGGCACCGCCTGTCCCTCGCGGCTGTAGATATTGTATGATTTAGACTCCCGAGTCGCACAAGTTTCTCGGGATTTGGTTATCGCTGTCCAGCATAACGTGGCAAAGGTTCCTAGCAATGACTTAGGGGGGCAGACGCCAAAAGGGAACGTGCTTCATCCCGTTCGCGTCTCTGTGAATATGCTTGTGTCTCAAAGGCTTGGCACGGCCAAGTGCTTGCATAGCATAACAAGGTTAAGGGACATGGGGAGGGAAGAGATGAGATGCATTTGCCTACCGTAGTAGGCAGGTTTTGCAAGTGCGAGGGAGTCACAGGCATCTTGTTTCCGCGCGTTGAATCTTTCGCCTAATCTTCGCAGATTCTTTTTTACTTGCCTACGCCCGCAGCGCTTTTTTCTATTCGACGATTCGGTAGGCGTCTTTACAAACCCCCCTCGGACTTTGTATCCAAAGCACGGGCAGCAGAATCCGTTTGACTCGTTGGATTGCTCCCGTGGGATTCATGGCGTGGGATCCACGGAATATGTAAAGATAGAGTTCTCGCTTTAGGGATCTCGTTGTCCAATGTCGAGAGGGATGAACATGAAGAAATATAGTTTCCTTCTCCTTTTATCTTGGAGTTTTCTCCTTTTCTCCTCTTCTGCTTTACGGTCACTGCGTCCCTTGGGGTCGTCATTGGGCAGTGATTTTGAGAGGCCCCGACTACTGTATATCAATATCGGGTTCGAGCACACACGCACGTGAAGAAAGCAAGCCACGGTACTAAGGCAGCTTTGAGGTGAACGGATGTGGGGCCGCAGCACGAGACGAGTGCGAGAAGGAGCGGAGCATCGGAGTAACTAAAGATGGAACAGAGTTGTGAAGTGCATGGGATGGCGCTCCAGCAGGCATCTCGTCTCTCGGAAGACTCGTATTATCACGCAGTACAAACCACCAAATTGAGTAAGTCGATGGAACACCACACGGAATGGTTTGAGGCTGACACTACCCTGGCCCTGCCCAGGTATGATAGAGCCGATAACCCAAGTTTCCTTCCTGGCGGGTGGTAGGGTTACTAGAAGATGCGGGCAAAGAGATGGAAGGACCAAGCGCTTTGTTCATGTAAGACGGTAGAGATGGAGGGGGAGGCGCAAGCGAAAGGCGAGATTGGGGGATAAAAGATCTTAGATATCGAGAAGGGGAAAGGTCAGATCTAAGCGACGCAAGCTTCCTTGCACATGCTGTTGGGCTAATGTAGACCGCCTCGACCACGTGTACAGCTGCATACAACCATTCAGAGATCGAGATCCGTTGTCTTGCGTGCCGCGGGAGCTAATTGACTGGCTGAAGAATGAGGGGCAAAGTAAAAAGGTTCCCCTCCATGAGATGAGTGCGAGAGCTGACGGCCATATTTAGCTAACGACGCATTGAAGTTGCTCTGGGAAATCATACACTCTAAAGCACTAAATTAGAAAGAGTATGAGAAGGGGGGGTATAGGCATTGGCATAAGCACATCACGAGATATGGCGGCAAACCGGCTGCAACTGCAGCTAGTAGATAAGGGTACGTCAGGTCAGCCAACTATGACATGTGTAAGGTAACCCCTCCACGCGGCATCTCCATCACCTCATACACATGCAAGCGCTGGGGCCATCGCATCTCCGTCTCATTGGACCTTCCTCAACTCTAATACTAGCACCGAGAAACCCAATTTTGGGGTAATCAGTATCACATCTGTACATTCCGTAAACTAGGCGCACCAAAGCCTACCTTCTTTGCGCATCTTCTCCTCTCATCCGTCCTGCCGCTCAGGCTGCCATGTCTCCATCCGCGGCCTGGCGTTCCTCGTGGGCAAATTCCATGGCACAATGGCAAAAACGAGAGGAGTAAGACGGCAAGTCTTCATCCAGACTCCACTTTGCGCCGCCGGGTTATCCCCACATCACGGAGAGGACCGAGAGACGGATATCCACCAGGAAGCCGGCTCGGTTCGGGTGTAACCAAAGGTATCCGCACCCGTTCCCGGCAATGGTTCAGCCTCTTTCTTTCTTCGAGCAACGTATTCGTATCCTGAAGCTTAACTCGAGCAAAGGTCTAAGCTAACGGCCAAGAAACGGTGGTTTTTGCGTACCCTGCTCACAGTTTGACCTCCACGAGTCAAGCCAGCCAGAATACCACTTACACCATCCCTTACCCCCATCCTCTCCCATTACATCTCGCCATAGGTCCAATCCCGCCCTCAAAAGCTTGGAAGCCTATCATGATTACGTTCAGATTTGCTCTTCGACAGCCAGCCCAACCCTACTACGGTATCAGGCCAAAGTTTAACCCCCTTGTCAGGTATCTTCGCCCATGCTTCTCGCGATTACATCAGTAGCATTACTTTCGAGATTCTTGTGCACGTCGAACAAAAATTTGGCCATTGAGAGTCACTGCTTTGCCCTGGTCAGATCCACACTACCTGGTAGGGAGTTTAAACATACCCCTAAGGACCAAGTAAGCTCCAAAACCCAGGTCAACTCGTGACCCATATCCCGACCCGACGCAACTCCACCGCAACACGAGACTGGGAATCCTTGCGTTCTCGCCCTTGGACTGATTCTGACATCACGAGAGTAATAGTGTGGCTTTGTACTGTTTTGCCTTGATCTGATGATTGGATCGTAGTTTGCCCGTCCGGATGTCGAAGCCGGGGGAGAGTTTCTACTCTCCTATGATGTGTCCCTAAAAGCTATGATGCTCGTTTTGAGCAGTTTTTCTCCCACAAGCTTTAAACAGAATCTCCACCAATCTCTTGGTCTCCTGGGGTAGGTGAGGGTCCTTAACAAGGGTGACAAGGGTGGTATACTGATCTTCTGCGGATACCGTTTTCCATGAGGCCCTTGCGCCCGTGATCTCATGCTCCTTCCCCTCTCCGTGCAAGTGGCTCGAGGGGAAAGGCTCTCGTAGAGCACAGTCTCGTCCCGTAACTCTTCAACTGGCTTATCGTCTGTACAAATGTCGTAAAAGTATTGACGCAATGCGAGCTGCTCGGGTTTTTAGCACCGCACAATTGTTTGTATATAGCCTTTGGACATTAAGTCCAAATTGTAGTTGAAAGAGGCTAATATGCAAATTGCCAAAGTAATAGAGTGCGTTTTGCCCGCCGTAGAAGAATGAGTGCTTAATGCACTGCATCTGTATTACTCATTCGAAGCCCTCAGTCTATCTCTACCTATGAGATTGGTCTTGTCAGTTGCATAATCAAGCAAAAGCGCTCCCATCGGTTCCGCTCATGTATCTCACAACCCTCATCGCCGACATGGACCACCAACAGGAATTTGAAAACCTCCAAGCAAAGTAGAAAATCTCCCTTGCATCCCATCGTCGGCATGGTTCGACGATGCCGCCGTTCCGCCGTCCCTTCTTGCTCGATTCATCGGCGATGGTTCGTCGGCGCTGAGACTTTTTCTCTTGCTCACTTTCCGATTTCCCTCCCTTTTCCCTCTCACCTATTCACATCATGGTGATTTTGGTCATGTCGGTACAGACCTTCACAGAGTCGGCGGTGGCGAAGAAATAAAAAAGCCCCATATCTCGGACATGGCAAAGTCGAAGGGCACGTTGCCGCCAAGGGGTAGATCGCGATCTTTCGTCTCAAGTTTTCTCGTCAATTCCTCGTGGGGTTTCACGACCTCGAGGCTCCCACCTTCGTGAGCTGTCACATACGCAGAGATCATTTGCGAAGCATACTAAAGCAATCGCGAACAGAACTGTGACCTTGGCGGACATCCTCCATCTCCGGCACCTGACATTCACCGTTATACCTGGGTAGTTCGCCGACGTCTCAGCAGATCTTCTTCCCGAGTTGGCCTTGACATGTCCAGCTCACAGGAACACTACGATAGATGTCACCCGCCTGTCCTCTCGCAAGTACCTTCAGCGTAGAGCGAGCTTACGGTAGCATGTCCGACCCATTCGGCTGTTCAAACACCATTATCAGCACCATCACCTCACCCAAAACATTGGCAACACAAAGCCAAGACTCGGGTGAATAGGAACTTCCAAAATCTCTCCGTTCCATCTCGTCCTTCTCGTCCTCCCTATCTCCCCTCCTCCCTAAGAACCAAGTGCTGAAGAAACACACTTTCTTTTCTCACACCATCGCTGGTTAGTGACACCTTCGCTCTTGGCTGTCATTTCATGCACTTTTGCAAGAGAGATGAGTGTTCACTATGGTAAGGAAAGTTTCGCGTTTCTACGCGAATCTCTCGGCTCCGAAAGGTAATCCAAAGAAGGAGGGCAAAATCTTCGCAGCCTATTAGAACTGACGCAAGAAGATTGTACTATTCCTTGGTCTTCTCGCTCGGACGGGGTCACGTCGAAATTCAGATTGCCGCCCTTCTGTAGATTCCTTGCTACGCCAATACTCTCGACTTGGACCCAAACGCGTGAGGAGCCTTCCGTAGCTCGTCCAGGGGGCAGCAGTGAAGAGGCTCATCGCCTTACTCCTCGAATGAGGCGTTCATCCCCAATTTGAGCAACCCTAGCTTTCTCACATTGCAATCGTCAAGAATATCTCCTTTGATATAGTATGTGAGTTGGGGACCACTGGTCTGCATGGAGCTTCTGCATCCTGCATCATCGAGTTGAATGCGCCCTCGAAAAGGATCCCACTCGGGCGAGACTCAAGCGCCTTCCGAGATTGCGAGAACACCTTGATTCACGAAACTGATCACTCATCTACGCGAACCTCACAGCTTGACGCTCACGGATCAGATTGGGATTGAAGATAAGCCGGTGGCAAAGCGGCGAACAGGTCTCCATCTCAAGGTCGCATGCAGCAGTCGCGTCGAAAGGGCAGCTGACATCATACTTGATCACCAAGCACATCATAAGCCGTACCTGCCCCGAACCTCAAAATTCTGCTCCTGATTCTGGAAAAGATTCAACCGTCGTCAGTGTGATTCACTCTGTCCTCTACCGACTCAGCGTTCCTTGGCACATTCTCCCGACTTCTCAGAACGCGGAGAAAGAGTTCAGCATTCACTACATCGCTACGAGAACGAGTGGCTCGGCATAAAACATTTCTCGCGCTCCCATCACCACCTCACCTACGTGTAGCTTTCATCCGTTTCCGCCTTTCCCTCCAGTCAGCATGTGTCATCAAATCCCGCCATGGACAAAAGCTTCTTCACCCTTGGAGAGAGCTCCGACCTACGTAAGAAACGCAACACTTTTTTTTCCTTTCCCACAAAGGCAAGGACAAGGAACCAAGTATGGAACTCCCGGACTCCCGGTCCAACCGCACGGGCATCTGTGACATACCCCAGGTGAAGCTTAAAACCACATTGTTCAGCACACCGTAATATACCGAATGGAATTCGTGCCGTAACGGATTGTGACGTCCCTCGTGCTGTGTATCTACTTTGGGCAATAGCTCGCCGGACGGAACTTGTGCCGGTGAAGAATGCACGCTGCTGAGACGGAATATGACGGCTGCGAATATTCACCAAAGCCTCTCATGATACGAACTCCATTTTGCTTTACACTAGATAACCTAGTTCCTGCATTCGACCGTCAGTCTGACGACTGAGCACGTGACCAGTCACGAGCAAAATAGACTGCAAAGGCGAAAGTAGTCATTAGCATGGATGATGAACCTACTATCAAGGTACGTCCGGACATACTTTTTTCCAAAGACCACCCCATAACGACATCACAGCGCGGCAGGCAGAGTCACTTGAGAAACAGATGAAAATGTGATAACGTGGCTTATGCAGCCTGGTATTCCTTGTGTTCGTAGCTCGTGAGTCTATCCTTTTGGTCCTCGTATGGATCGTCCTGGAGCCCGTTTCCCCGTTTTATGAAAAATTCCGCAAACACCATTGTCGGGTATACCCAGAGAGCCAAACCCGACCCGAAATATCATCCAGAGGAGAAAGTATTCAGCGAGTGACTACCCCTGAATGTGAAAAGCGAAAGTCCCGAAAAAGAGAAAATGGTTAACTGTATGTACAGCAGAAGAAAAAGAGAAAGTGTTTGTTCACTTTCAGAGTGGCCCGCCCGAAAATCCCGGTGAACCAAAAATACACATTTGCTATCCCTAGTAATTGTGTGCCAGAATCGAAGAAGTCAACCGTTACTGCTTCAAGCAGCTTAGGCGGCGGCAGCGTAAGTCTGGCCGAGGGCGCTGAGGCCAGAGCCGGAGTTGAGAACGCCGTCGGAAGCCATGAAGTAAGAGTAGCGGTCGAGGTACGACAGGCTGTCAAGCTTGGGGACGTTGGTAGAGACGAAGCTGGAGATCTCATCGGTGGTACCGAAGGGAGCGAACTCGGTCAACCAGACGGGCTTGTTGCCGCAGGCCTCGTGGACGGCCTGAAGGTGGCTGAAGAGGGTGTCGGCAGCGCTGGAGGGAGAGTACCAGTGGGTGACGCAGAAGTCGTAAGTGCAGCCGGCGGTGTCACAGGCAGAGACCCAAGCCTTGAGCCAGTCGAGACCCTGGCCAGCAATGTTGCTGTTGGTGATGGCAGGGGCTCCGATCTGGATCTTCTTGCCGTCGGTGGTGGCGTAGGGGTTCATGTACTTGACGTGCTGGGTAGCAGCATCGGCGGCGCCAAGGTTGCACTGAGAAGGCATATCGCACTCGTTGAAGCTCAGAATGTGAGTAGAGCCCTTGCTGATGGAGGCTTTAACGTTCTCGGCCCAGCGGGCGGTGTGGGTGTCGATGGGACCCCAGAGCATGGGAACGAAGTTGACACCCGTGGCAGTGATGCCGTTGTCAGCAGAGTCCCAGTTGTAAGCCCAGCCGCAGTTGGTGCAGGCGCCAGTGAAGAAGGCGTTGACCTTGGTGGGATCATTGTAAGCAACACCACGCTTTCCGACGGTGGAGCTGGAGCTGACGACGGCGGAAGCAGTGGCCTTGGCGGAAGAAGTAGAAGGCACAGCAGCAACAGCAACGGCAGCCTCAGAGAAGGCCTCGGCGACAGGAGCCTGGGAAGACGACTTGGGAGCAACCGACTTGATGAGAGTGGTGCTGGGGGTGGCGTAGATCGGGGTGGGAGTGGGAGTAGGGATCACGACAATCGAGGTAGAAGTCGTGGTGGGAGTGTACTGGGCCTCGGGGGCCGCAGGCTGAGGAGTAGGAGTGGGAGTGGCAGCAGGGACCGACTCATCACCGGTGACAGTGACGGTGACCCATTCGGTGACTATGTCATACTTCAGCTCGCGCTTGTCCTGGTGAAGGTGGCGATGAGCGTTGAAAGCCATGGCCTGCTCGATGAGGGCGAGGGAGGCAGCGCCGACGGAAAGAGCCTTCTTGGTGTACATCTTGGCTGATTTCGAGGGATGTTGTACTTGTGTGGGGGATTGGTGAGATTTGTGATTTTCGAGGAAGGTGCTTATGAGAAAAGCTGTTGATGATTTCTTTCTCGACGAGGTTGACGAGGCGTGAAGTACCGGCCTTGGAAGGAGGGTGGAAAAATCACTGGATACACAGAAGGAGTGATGATGTGTTGCTGTTTGTTCGGTCTGTCAAAGACACGAAAAATGAAAGTGGTGTGCGGTTGTTGTTGGTGAATTGGGTTGACAACGAACTGCTTTTGTACGCAAAGGTCGAGGCTGGCGACCGTTGGTGAAGGAATGTGTTGTTGACTGAAGAAGGGACAGGCAAGCCGGTTGGTGTGAGGAAGGGGAAACAACAAGAAGGGAGAGTGTGGGGGAGGAAGGGAGTTTAAGAAGGCAAGTGACTGGGTGCTGGGGAGGAAACAAATTCAGGCAGGGACGAGGGAAGGAAACAATGGGAAGGTGAGGTCGACTGGGAGGAAGGAGCGTGGGAAACGATCGGTTGTGGGCAGGTAGGAGGCACATCAGATGCAGGTGCAGTTGGGATGCGGGAAGCAGGTGCGGACTGTGGATCCCGGCCCATCGGGGCTGCAGAGACACAGGTACCTACCTACGCCAGCAAAAGACACCACCCATGGAGGATGGCAACCCAAAGACCCAGAGGTACGACTCTGACTGGAGCCAACGGGGCTGATTTTCGATTCACCACGAGGAAGGAGGGAGGAGGTACGAACTGTCGTGGTGACCCCTTCCTCCGTACCTGCCTATCCGCGCGCACTAGGAGAAGCAGGGGGCAAGCGGGCCGGATGTATCGCGCTTTCCGGGAAGGGATGTGGTGCGGTAGTGGTCGCTCCTGCCAGTTACAACCGTGGCAGGTGGAGCGTGCCCTTGTTAGGACAGTCGTCTTCCTGAAGGAGTTACGTACCTCCCTGACTTGCGGCCCTTTTTGGTAGTTGCTGTTCATGTCGGGTCGCTGTCGTGGTTGGCAGCTATCCGCAAGATACCCCGTACCTACACATTTCAGTGGCTTCTCTTTGCTGGACTTGCATGAAAACCCGTCTACATACGTGGTTACACTCATGTGATCGATATCTATGTGAACAGTAACAGGTGGATTTGAAAGTGGGAACTGCCGCCCCCCGGGCAGTTCATCAGAGCTTTTTGTCCCATTGCTTCGTCCCATTGCTTCGTCCGATTTCTTGCTCAGATTTTGTTTTCTATGGGGGGATCAGCGACTCACAGGCCATGCTTTTTTCTGCAGATCCCGGCCAATTTGTGGTTCCTGCTTGCCCCCCCCCCCCCCCCCCCCCGGGCGCGGTTTTTTTTGGTTTTTTTTCCCTTTTTTCTTCCCCCTTTTTTCTCCCCTTTTTTTTTCCCATTTTTTTTTTTTTGGGGGGGGCAGCGACCCTCACGGCCTGCTTTTTTTTTCGGATCCCCCGCAAATTTTTGTTTTCCCTTTCCCCCCCCCCCCCCCCCCCCCGTGTGGTCTAGACACTCTGGATCTTCCTAGACTGAACTGACTCTTTGGCAGACGGGAGAGGCACTCAGCACAACCGGGATGGTGTGCTGGCGTTGCGTCCTGATGACAGATGATTACCCAGGACTTCCTCGACTCTTCAACCTCGATCCCCTCCAAAGAAAAAAAAAAGCTGCCCGGAGCGGAGAAGCCAAAGAACTGCCGTGGTGAATCGTGGGCTGGCAGCATCAGAGACATCCACAGTGACATAAGACACATTCCAAGCAGGTCAGTCACCACAATTCAACTCAATGCCATTGTTCAATTGCCAAGGATCTGTGTTCCAGAGCCAACGGTCCATTTCCTTCTTCCAGCTATTTGGGCTCTATTCCTTAATTAATGGAGTCTCGGTTTCACTGGCTCCTGGCTCTCCAACTCTAGGGCAATGGTAAATTGACCAGATCCAGCTTCGATAGCTAGTCGAATGGTGCCAAACGAGGGAGAAACGGACAGTCACATCTGGATTGTTTTGGGTTGTCGCCCACTCACACCTCAGCGACGGACTAGCGCTCGCCTATGGACTTTTCGCCCTTCCACTACTGATGCTGGCCTGGCTGGCCCTTTTTTTTTTTTTCTTCTTCTTCTTTTTCTCTTTTGGCCTTCTTGGCCAGCTTCCCAGTAACAACAAGCAGCGAAGAGCCAAGAAGAGGGGGAGGGAAAGGTTTGCTGCTTGGAACTTGGAAGAAGTGGCCCATGGGAGAGCCAACGGCTGAGCGGCGAATGGACCAAGAAGCGCCATTTTCACCCCTGGCTTATGCAGGAACGGGGGGCAAATGCTGCAGGAACCGGCACCACGGCGCAACCTTGGAAACACCGGGCGCCAAGGATACGTCGCTCGATACGACCTCGTCTCGTATCTTTTGAGTGCCATCGCGGCTAAAAGATACCTCACCACAAGAGTCCCCTTCCTTGCTTATCCCCTCAACCGCCGGGCCCCCTTCTCCATCCGACCCAGTTGTGCCAGTCAGCGGCTGCAAGAAGTTGATGCACGCACTGGCTGGCGAGGAAGGCACAGGTGGCAGCCGATGGTAGGTGAGAATCAGAACGTCGTTTTGTTCCTGCCATCACTTGCTTACAAGCACACAAGTTACGGAGTACATCTGTCACCATTGAGTTTAGCACTTTAGGCTCGACTGGCTAGCCGCGTTGCTGAGTGCAACATGAAAGCCTTGACGTTTCGCTCGGGGTCAGTGGTTGAGTGCCTTATCTGTACCTCCGTCAACATCTTAGTCGCTCTGCTATTGATGAAAGTCTCTTGCTGCAGAAAAATCCCTCTCTTTTCGCCTCCAACACCAAGTCACTATTCTCCAATATCGTCATTATTGCCTTGGCCCCCGCTCCCTCTCCTCCCTCGGTCGACCTCCATAGACCATGGCTCTCTCATGGCAAAAGCCCTGCGCCTGCCATCACCAGGGAGACGTCCAAAATTATCAATGTCAACTAGAGCAAGACTGTCGCCGGACATTGCCGCTCGGGAAAGCCCCTTCGTCGTCTCGCCTGCCCTTGCGTGGCCCTCAGTGAGAAGCCTCGGAGCCAACGAGTCACCTTCCCTGGGGAGGGGGGGGTCTTCTTTGACGCCTGCGCGGCGCTGACCACGCCCCCAGTACTGACGAGGCCCTCAGGCCGAATAGTCCTAGTTGGCATGGCGAATGGCTTCAGTGGGCAGGGCGGACCCTACAACGACTTTGCGTGTCCCATCCCGCAGCGCCCAGTATGTATCAGACGAACAAAGGATGACAACGGTCGACTTGGGATGGCAGCCCCGCGCTTGGGGCAACCCGAAGGACTGATGCCATTGTCATGGGTGAATAGGCCTAATCCAAGCCGACTACTCCGTATTCATGTGAGCACGATAAGACCCGCGCTTTTGACCCGTTTCACCACTTTGGGCTGGCCCCACGGTGTCGTTGTCTTGACCCTTTTGCGTCTTTTCCTCTTTACGGCTAGCCGGTTACGTGGACCCAGATGGATCGCCAGGGAAAATCGACCGCGCACCAAGTCCAGACTCTCAGCGCGGGAGATGGAGTCGCCTCGGGGGATTCCACGACTGTTCGACAGCGTCAGACCCGGGAGGGCCAGCAATCCGGGCAAGCCAGACCCCAAGGCGCCGGCTGTGAAACCCTAAGCGAAATGAGCTTCCGCCGCCACGGGGCACACGTCCAGCGAATCCCATCCATCAGAGCACCATTTCACTCCAACACGACGCCCATTTTGGCACTTTACTTCCACATGTTTGGCCCTTTTCTGACAGCCGCCCACATTCCTCGCCCAGTCTGTCCCGTTACTTCCCTGCCGCCCTGACAAAGAGCCGATGAGGCCAGCGGCCAGTCCTCCGGATCATCCAAAGCTTGTTAGTCGAGAGCAGGATTTCGTCCTCTTCCAGCCCAGGGCAAGACGTGCCGGGATGCGACAGCCAGGGCTACACTGCGCCACGCCGAAGCTAAAGCCTCGGAATGTCACCGGCTCCATGACCCGGGACTGCCATGCCGGCCGCTGTCCTCCATCAGGGCAGTAAATACCGTTCTGGACGCTCAGATCATTCGGACTCACTGGCAGTCTGCCAGGCTCACTGCCTTTTCAGAGGCTGAAGCCGACTTCCATAGCACGCGACTCAGAGCCCCGGCCCGCGCAAGGTCCGACAATATCAGGACACGAGGCTTTGCTCCTAAATAGTACGATTCATCACGACGTACGTAATCATTTCGGCACTGCCAGCCGTCTAGTTCTGCTCCTTTGAGTGTTGTCAACCCCGCCCGAGATCGTTACGCAGTAAACGTCGGATAGTTGCACCCACGATCCGAACAGTCGACCTCGAGGGTCGCCCAGTGAGCGAACGCATTGCTTTCATCCGATGTCAATCTTTATTAAGGTTGAACTGTCTCATGCGCGACGGCAAGCGCAAAGAGGACCCGCAAGGACTTATGTTTCCATAAGTCTCACTTTATGGTTACTCTAGCTTCCTCATACGGGAGTCTGGCGCGTTTCTTCCCGACATATGTCTTACGGTCTTACCTGCAGGTTGCATGCTGCAAGCCACTCCAGCTTCCTTACATCAGCTCTAGGTGACTCTACTGTTTTCGTTTCGTCCAGGATTGGTTCATTCCTGTTCATATGCTTGTCCTCCCACATGTAACGGTGTTGGCTCAGCTGCAGTCGTTGACATCTATTCAAGTCTGCTCCTGCAGGATTACATGCAAATAATCCCGTCAATAAGTCGGACACACTCATCCATCGATTGAGGTCAGCTCAAGGACGGCGGCGTGTCTATCCGCAATTAGGTTTGCTTGCGACATCGAAACAGTCCCTAAGTGTTCCCCAACGACTCAACCGACAGCCATGAGGGTTTAGAGGTTGACTCCAAGGAGACTAGGCATGTCACGTAACCGAATGATCATTTGCTTCCATTGGCAGACATCCTGTCAAGTGAACTATACTGGCTTCTTGTTCAATGTGACAAGGCCTTGCCGAT